GAACCTTCAGGCAACAAGTCTTGCTCCATGTCCTTCTTCCTACGCGTGACCGGAGGGGACTTCTGCGGTGACCGACGGACATTTGGCTCGACCATCGAAAAGCTAGACGGTGGGCTGCTGGTCACTCCTGACGACATGGATGCACGGTCTGACGGTTCGAACTCAAGCTTCTTCTTTGGGGACATCTTGTATGCCATGTAGCACGTACCACTTTCGACAGTTTGACCACTGACATCAACACACATGTATTCACCTTCAACAGAAGACTCATCATCACTCAATGCAAAATAGGCTGTGGCTTTACTCGTCGACGACGTTCCTCCAGGGGACTTGTCGTTCTGCTTGGGGAACTTGCAGGCTGGGTCTCCTGCCCAATGTCCTTTTCCTCCACAACGCAAGCATTTGGACACTGACTTCAACTTTGCTAGACGTGCAATCCTGTCTTGCACGCTCAACTGTGTCCTGAACACATACTTGCCTTTCCCCTTGCTCTTTCCACCTTTCTTTCCTGAACCTTTTCCTTTGCCTTTGCTCTTGCCTTTCAACTGGTCAGTCACGACAAAGGCCATCATTTGATGCTGGGCTGCGCTGCCCAGTTCCTCTGAAACATCGTTTTCTTCATCATCACACTCTCCCATTGCCATCAACGCTGTGGCAACTTCAGGGTCTTCGATATAGTCTTCATGTTCTTCATCATCTGGTTCTTCATCTTCTGCTACAACATAAGCTTCATGCTCATAGTCGTCCTCTGCTTCTGCCTCATAGGACTCTTCATAATCCCAAGAATCATCTTCAACAATGTACGCAGATCTTTGCCAACTGCGCCCTTTTCCTCCTTTGTAGGAAGACTTGCCTGAAAACTTGCCTCCGCCTTTCTGCCTCCGAGGGCTCGTGTTACCAAAAGCGGACCAGCTGCGCAAGTGAATCTGTCCATGGAATTCAAGCAAGAACTTGGCGTAGACGTCAAAGGATTGGTTGTCGCCTGCAGCTGTTTTGATCATGAGCTGTTCTGTCTTGCTCAAGCCAGAACCTTCCAGAAGTACCCCCCCCCCAATGGGGTCTGAAAGACTTACCCCATCATCCATCTCCAAAAGCTTCCTCCACCAACGACGTCTTCGTGAAATGTAGCTAGTCATGCTTTCTGTCGTTTGGCGAGACAAGGGACCATGTGGAAGTTGACCCACTCTGAACAACTCACGTGCTTCTTGTTGTCGAAGTGGAAAAACTTGTGCACGGATACGCGATATCAACTCATCAATGCCAGTTGAAGTCAACAACTTCTCCAATCCCATGTCTTGAGCTGTAAGGTATGCATCACCTCGCAGACCTTCCAACACCTTGTGAACAAGTGTTGCATACTCTGCTCCATCATCATCCAGTCCGGCAGTGCTCAGAGCTGGTTCTTCCTCTCCTACCACGCTCTCGGACTTCGGGGTTCCAAAAGCTTCAAATCGTGCCTCGTCATCCTCTGATACATCCCCAGCTTCGGTCGCATGAGTCGGCCTCCTCTGAGAACGTTCTGGTGTGGCTGATTGGCTTCCAGGACTCGAATAGGTCTTCTCTGACTTCTTCTTCGCATGTTTCTGCTTGTGCAAAGCAACGCGGACCTTGGTGCGAAATTCCCATTCGAAGAAACCATTTGGATTGCCACTGTAGATGTATGATCCGCTCTTCGTCTCCTGTGGTCCTGAGATACTTCCTCCATGGGACGTGTACCGCAGGCCAGCCAGCGACATCGCAACTCAACAAGTTTCGCAAAGCACTGGAATTACAACGGTTCGACGGATTGCGCGCAGGGTCACGCAATTGGGTTCAACGGTTTCGGATCCAGCGAGTCTCCCCGGGTGAGTCAGATCCTGAGGGTGCCCCTTCAGAACCTGCTCCGCTACCAGTTTGAATCTCGCACAGTTCCTTTTCGCAGCAGCGAATCAGCTCAAGGGCCCTGTTCAGCCGAAACAGCAGCGACGGTGCATCAACTGTACGCAATACACCCTGGCTACAACAGCTGAAATTCACACATGTAAACCCATTCCATCCTATTCCAGACTGACTTCACATAACGTCCAGTGCTTCCCAAACACTCCACGGGGGTGGTTGATAGATTTCAGGGGTTGATGATGTTGATGGTTGATAGCTAGATCTTCCAGTATCATGGAGCCACATCGAGTCTCCTGAAGACATCTCCTTCCGTTCCACTCACAAAATGTCTCACCTGGTCTCGTAACTCTATAAAATCCCTGAGTAAAAAAGCAATGGATTCCATCGGCATTAGCATGCATGGTGGTTGGATGCAGTTGGAATCCTAGACTTTAGATGATATCTACATCAACTGTATCCAACCATAATGGGATGGTGGTGCATAATCAAACATCTACATCAAGAATCCCAAGCGCCCAACGCGTTTTCCCGACTTCGCTTCCCGACACACCACCGACCCAGCGCACGGCCTTGTCGTCGAGCGGCCCGCCGTAGTTGGGCGAGGCCGTGGGCACCCAGCCGTGGTCGCCCAAGGCGTCCAAGACCTTCACCACCTATAGAGACGCTCGCGCAAGCGCGAGAGCACGTCGGTAAAGGAGACGCTCGGGCTGAAGAGCGAGAGCATCAGCGAAGCGGTGAGGAGACTTGCTGCTTCGGACCACAAAAAGCAACAGCGACCCAGCCGGTGCGCCGCGCCTTTTGCCAAGGAAAAAGGCAGGGGTCCGTTGATGGTTCTGTGCTGGGCTTCTGTGAAGCAACACTTCGTGTGAAGCTGAGATCCTAAAATCAAACGTTTCAATTATATATTATATATAATTGCAGGTCATGGTCAGCAAAGCGGAAAAACCAGAAGCGTCGTAGCCAAAAAACTGTGGAAAGTTCGATCTCTGCGAGGACAATCTCTGCGCAACTCCGTCACGCCCTCCCCCTCACTGCAGGGATCCGCAGGGTGTAAGCGAGGCCAACGATCACATGAAGATCGTCAAAAATGCCTAGTGACCGACTGTTCGACATGGTTTGTGGTGATGTTCTGATGGGTGATGGGTGTTCTTGGACCACTGAGAAAAAACACAGGACGTACCTGCTCAACAACTGACATAGAATCTAGAAACTGCTATCGCACACCATACTTGCTTTATCTTGCTTTGTTTCCATGCTTGGGATGGTGCATGCCCCCATAACACAGCCCAGCTGGGATGGGCACCAGCCCATGGCTTGTCTCACATACATCTGTCAAATGCCGAGCCACATTCTTGCCGATGGGGAAGAAAGGCTGCTTCATGGAGAAGAACCTCAACTGGCGGGGATGTGACATGCTGGTGGAGTGCTTGCACCCAGACTGACCCCAAAAATGATCGTATTGGATTCCTGGGCCAGTGTGCAACAAAACAGGGATATGAAACTATGCAGAGTTCCGGATGCGAGTTTCGACTGAACGCAACATCAAACACATCCATATCATTTCATCTCGCCGTCGAACACACTTGGAGGACCACAGCATTCTGCAAACAATATATAATGACTTAATATATACCTCATAACACATCAATGAACAATATGGAACACAAACCTCAAGAAATCTTCCCTCCGCCGACCCCAGTCTAGGGCCGTATGAGGCTGTATGTCCCCTAAATAGTTACACCCCTTTGGAATTGCCCATCGAAAGCTGAGGCCCATCCCAGGACCTTCCAAGCCCGGTGGTTGTTGGGCACCCCTTGACCTCTAGAGGTCACTCTTAGAGGTTGTTTATAGATATTTCTGTTATAGAGAGCAGAAGGTCCTTGGAACTCCACAGCTGTTTATAGACACCTCGACGTCCTGGTCTATGTACAGAGCCCGTTTTCGACCGAGTGACCCGCTCGGGAGGCCGAACGCGTGACCGCCAGACCTCTGGCGGCCTCTGGCGGTCTGAGCCAGGCGGCCCGTTCCAAGCACCAAAGCTGTGACCAGGACCAGGTGAAAAACCATGGTTTTGCTGGGTCAGGAACTGACCTGTAGGGAGAAGGAACTAGGGTTTGAAGGTTTATGATTTAGGTCCCCCTAGTCAAACTGCAATGGTTGACCAAGTAGGTCTTCCAGGCAGTTGAGTAGGTCTTCAAAGACTGGTCTGGTGACTAGGACAACTGGTCTGTCCATGTGTCAACTGCAGCTGACCAGGAGCTTTCTCCAGTCAAAGCCCACGATATGCGCGATACGCGACGATACGGAGCCGCCCAAGGAACTGATAACCGCTGGTCATCCGCGTATTGTGCCAAATCAGGTCCCACATCCTTACCATGGCAAAAGCAGTTCTCTCTGCACTTGGCGAAAGCCTTCCTGGACCTGAACACAGGGGTGTCCTTGCTGGAGGTCCCTTAGTAGTGGGCTGGGGCCCAGCCAGGTGACCCCGAGTTCGGAAAGTGCTGGTTGGTTGATCTTGGTGTCTAGTTCTTGGCATCCAGAAGCCTAGCTCCACACCCGAAAGAATACCGTCTGCATCAGTCTGCCAACTTTTGGAAGTTCTGGGGTAAATGCCACAGGGCAGGAAGTTCAAATTGCCATAATTGTCTGTCGACAGGGGATTTGACTGCAGGTTCGCCTCCCAAGTTCTGTATCGGCCCTCTCCCCATGGCCTTGGTGGGGCAGTGGACCCTGTTGGAACTGAACCGTCGAAACATGACGAGATTCGTAGGAATGCTCGCCACCAGGTTCGCCAAATCTGTGCGATGTCATGTACATGTCTTCATCAACATGGATGTCATGGGTTGTCCGAGGGCCCGCGCCCGCTGCGGCTGCGGTGCCTGTTTCCCCTCTCTTTCAAGCCCATGCAACATCCAATTATATATATATATATATATTGTGATTGCACGCATGGCAGGCATGAGTTCGTCGTTCCACCAGGGACTTTTCGGCGCGAGGTGAAAAAGCCCGATCGATCCCTTCAGGCGAAGGGTAGTTGCTCCGCAATTGGTAGCGGAGCCTGCTCAAAGAGCAGGCTCCCGCCATGGCTCGTTGAACCTGACCTTCAGGCGAAGGTCCTACGCATGGCAGCGATGACGTCTTCCACCTCGACTGAAGGTGGGCTCCGTTTCTTCTCGGGGGATTCTGAGGATGGCCGTGAGTACAAACGCTGGAAGCAATGGGTGAAGAACAAACTGCTGACGCTTGACAAGTTGGCGGAGGGCTCCAGAGGGGCCTACATATACACCCTTCTCTCTGGCAAGGCCTTGGAGGCCGTGGAACACCTAGATCCCGAAGGCTACCAGAAGAAGGGCGGCGATGATGCCCTATGGGCCATTTTAGACAAGCGATTCCCTCAGCAGGAGACAGTGGATGAGTTGGGGGAGATCCTGAACGAGATCTTTGGACTTCGCTCACATGAGGGCGAGTCCATGAGACAATGGACCGCCAGGGCATCCGAGCTGATGGACAAATGTCACCGCAAGACTGGAGTCTCATTCCCGGATGAGGCCAGGGGATGGCTGCTACTCCATCGAGCTGCTTTGACGGAAGAGCAAAAGGCGGTGGTGATCGCCAGGGCTCGAGGTGACTTGAAGCGGGAATCCATCGCCTCCGCACTTCGATCCTGCTACCCGGAGCTGGTCATGACTCGTAAGCGTGCAGGAGTGGCTCTGGCCGAGGAACAGGATGGGGGCGATGACACTGCTGAAACATGGGATGATGGTTTTTCCGACGTTGAGCAGTTGTTGGAAGACCACCATGCTGGTGTCGAGGCGGGACCCGACACCGAGACCTTTCAGGAGTCCGAAGTCGCTGAGGTTTTGGCCGCCACCTGGAAAGAAAAGAGGCACGAGTTGAACCGCCTTCAGAAAACACGTCAGTTTCAGAAGGCACGAGATGTCAAACGAAGCTTTCGGGTGGAGATTGAGGAGATGAAGAGGAACTCCACTTGCAATCGTTGCGGCCGCAAAGGCCATTGGGCACGAGAATGCCGTTCAAAAGAGACGACCAAAGGAGCTGGCAAGTCAAAGACTTCTGGATCTAGCGCTGCATCCGGTGCAGCGGTGGTGCAAGAACTGGATTTTGTGGCCGCAGTGATGGCTACACCTACGTTGCTGGAGCAAGTTCGCAAGCATGTGAATGAGAAGAGTCAGCTCAATGCTCCAGCCACCACAGAGGAGATTCTGCTTGTGTCGTCCCCAGGCTATGGTGTCCTGGATTCCGGCTGTGGTCGAACCATTGTTGGGCAGACCACCCTCCGTGCTTTTGAGAAGATTTGGAAGCAGAAGGGATGGGCAATTCCAAAGCCCATCGATGAAGTACATCAATTCAAGTTCGGAAATGGTGAAGTGGAGACATCCTTGGTCTCCATTCAGATGCCTGTCGTCTTAGCTCATCGCCGAGGTGTGATTCGTGCTGCAGTGATCAAGGGTGATGCTCCATTGTTGTTGAGCCGCACAGCACTCAAAACATTGGGTGCGACTCTGGACTTCGCACATGACAGCCTCCAGGTGTTTGGAAAGACAATTCCCCTCCAAACCAACAGTGCTGGACAGTATGTAGTGCAATTGACTGGGGAAGATTCCTTGTGTTCGCCCGCAGCCGCTTTTACAGAAGTGATGGCATCTGTGGAGGCCTCTCCAGGTCCCACGGCATCTCATGAGCATGTTGATGAGCCGCAGCTTGAGCCGGAAATGCCTGCGGCAAATGCCCCCGAGTTGACCTCGCCGTCAGCACCTGACACGGCGATTTGGGAGCAGGAGGACTGTGATGTCGTCACCACCCCATGGTTGTCTCGCCAAGGGCCAGCATGGAAGCATGTGTTTCGTAGGCGGGTAACCAACATCCAGACCTCGAAAGTCATCGATGATACCCGGATAGATCCAGGGACCCCTCAACACAAGACGATGGTAAAGTTCTTTGAACGTATGCCGCATGTGAAAACTGAGTTTTTCTTTGTCGGACAACCAATTGAAGGTGCAATGATGGAAGAGTGGCAACCGTCTCATCACCAATGTCGACAGTTGCATCGGCAGGCTCAGGCATGCCTCGCAGTTCAAGAGGGTAGGAAAGTCAAACGATGTTTAGTCATGGAGGTGTTTTCACCCCCTCGGTTCACGACCGCCGCCGAAGCAGCAGGTTTTCGTGCCAAGTCATACGACCTAATAAATGGTTTTGATTTCCGCCTCAGTCGTCACAGGAGCGCCGTTGAGCAAGAGCTCATGACGGAGAAGCCACGTCTTCTGGTGTTGTGCCCGCCGTGCACCGACGAAGGCGGGTGGATGCACTTGAATAGCACGAAATGGACCCGTCTGGAGTACCTCCAACGAATGACACAGAGTCGTAGTTATATCAGATGGTGTTGTAAGCTTTTCAAGCTACAAGTGTCTCTCGGAGGTCGAGCAATGTTTGAACATCCGACGGGGTCTAGGTTGTGGACATATCCTGAAGTTCAAGCCTTGTGTCGTCGGTTCACAACTGTCAAATTGCACATGTGCAGGTATGGGCTTCGTTTGCCTGAGAGTCATAAATTCATCCGCAAGAGCACCCGGTTGCTAGTGACTCATGAAGACATGTCGACCTTAGGTTTGTTATGCCCTGGAACCGGTGATCATGCTTCACATGACATAGTGGCAGGCAGTGCCCCAGGGGTTTCAAGTGTCAGTGAATACGCTGGACGATACCCACAGCAGTGTGCAAGCAGTGCTCCAAACCGTAGAGGTCTTTCGCATGAGCAGTCATGACTCGAGTCCCATGCAACCATCGGCGGAACCTGCGGTGTGCATTCTCGAAGATGCGATTCCTGAAGAGAGCTGGTCAGAGGTCTTGGCTGTCAATGCCCTGAGTCAACGAACCGATGCAGAGCTCATTCCGGTTTTGGTCAAACTGCACAGGAACCTGGGCCACCCACCAAATTGTGACTTGGTCCGGATTTTGCGTCACGGAAATGCCAGTGAACAAGCTCTCAAGTTAGCCCGTGAACTCTCCTGTGATTTTTGTAAAAGCCAAGCCAAGCCAAAGAGTCCTCTTCCTGCACAGCCGAATAGGGTAACTGAGTTTAATCACCAAATAGCCATCGATGTGAAACATCTTCGGGGTTGGCAGCCAAACCAAAAGATCAAAGCTCTGAACATTGTAGATACAGCCAGCAGCTTTCAGCGCATGATTCCGTTCTTCCAAACGGAAACAGCCAGTTTGTTGCGTGAACAGCTCAATGAACACTGGATTGCCTGGGCCGGAATCCCAAAGGAGATCATCATGGACCCTGCCAGGACAAATCTGGGTGACCCCATGACTGTTCCCGCTGAACTGGAAGGGACACATGTGCGACCTATCGCAGCCGGTGCTCATTGGCAGTTAGGGAAATGCGAATCTCATGGTGGCTGGTTCAACCGTGTGTTGGAAAAGTTGATCGACGACTACTCCCCCCGAAATAGAGAAGAGTGGCTAGAATGTGTGTCTCATGCCCATGTCAAGAACCAGATGATTCAGATCCATGGATACACCCCTTACCAGTTTGTGTTTGGCCGCAATCCACATGTTCCTCAGGATTTACTCAGTGAGCCGTTGTCCATTGTGCCAGCGACCGCATCATTGACCGATGAGGCAATCAGTCGGACACAAGCCATGAGAACCTCTGCTCGGATGGCACTGGTCCAAATGCAGGACGACCGAGCAATGCGAGTAGCACTCCTGGCTCGACCTCGGAAACCAGTTTCCTTTCAGCCAGGGGACATGGTGGCCTAATGGCGAAACCAAAAGTGGGTTCAAGGTCAGTTGCAGCAAGGGGGACAGTGGTATGGGGTAGCCATCGTATTAGGACATGTTGGCAGAAATCTCGTGTTGATTCATCGTAGGCAGGTGATTCGATGTGCACCTGAGCAAGTCCGACCCGCGACAAACGAAGAGAAGTGCCTGATATCGTCTCCTGATGTTGAACTGCTAGGGATTAAGGACATGATAGATAAAGGTAATCTGCACAGTCGTCAGTACCTAGACCTACTCCCACAGTCGTATCCACCACAAGAGGGAGACGTGGACCCAAGGGAACATCCTGCGGAAACTGATCCAATGTCCGAAGCCAGTCGACTCCGTCCGCCAAGTGATGAACCTAGAATGGTCGAACAACGACCTGCTGATGTGCCTATGCCAGCCGTGACATCGTCGGCCACGGACCCAGAAGAACCAGCAGCTCGTGAAACACACCAATCTAGTCATCCGGAAGGAAATCCCAGCGAGCGAGGAGATGTCAGTTCATCACCTTATCCTTCGGAACCCCCAAGAGAGTCCGAAAGCTCTGGTTCATACGGACCGGTTCGCCGTCGAGTGTCCGGGAAAGATGGTCCGATGTCGCTGTGGAGACCTCCAGCCCTCAAGCAAGAAGATTTCATAGAAATCATGAAAGAAGTAGTTCCTCAGCTAGTCGACGATGCATGTGCCGACCGATCCAAGAGACCCTTATCACCCTCTAGTAATCCCGAAGTTGAAGAGCCAGCCGCAAGTCGCCCGAGAACCGAAGAAACGCTGAGTGTTCAGGATGTCTCCGATCTCGTGTCACTTGCCAACTCGGAGTCCTGGGAATGCTTGATGGCCGAATACCTTAAGAAGAAGATGTCAAAAGAATTGCCTCATAGCAATAATCCCCCAGAACTTCAACAGAAGGTCCAACAAGGAAAACGAGCGGAATGGGAAACGATCACATCAAAACCACATGCTGTTCGAATGCACTATGGTAAGAAAGCACAACAAATTCGCGAACAGTATGGAGATCGATTCATCGGCAGTAGGTTTGTTTTGACCCGCAAGCCAATAGAGGAAGGCATGGAGATAGATCCAAATGACTACAATACCTTCACGGTGAAGGGCCGGTGGTGTCTGCAAGGACACCTCGATCCTGATCTTGAGGCAAAGGCCGAACAAGGCCTTTTGAAGTCGCCCACACTTAGTCAACTTGGTCGAATGTGCCTCCTTCAAGTGATCGCATCACAAAAGTGGGTGTTGCAGCTATATAAAAGGGGCGTTCCTCGAGGCAGGTCCGCTAAACCCCGAATTTCGTCCACTGTTCGCACACCAACCCGCAGGTGGCATCCCGGGAATCCCTCCTGATGCTGTGATAGAGATTGTTGGAAACCTGTACGGACAGAATGACGCTCCGTCGGCCTGGTTTCGTGAATTCAGCGGGTTTGTCAAATCTCTAGGTTGGCACCAAAGCGTTTTGGACCCGTGCCTGTTCACACTTCGAGATCCAAAAGACCACACGTTAGTTGGTGTGATGGGTGTGCACGTCGACGACACGGCCGTTGGAGGTGCCGGAGACCATTTTGAAATGTCCATCAAACAACTCCGCGCCCGCTTTCCGTATCGGAAATGGCGAATGCAAGGTGGAGAGTTCTGTGGTGCATGGTACGATCAACAGAAAGACAAGTCAATCATCATGTCCATGAAGTCATTTGCTGAAAAGATTCGACCAGTGAATGTGCCCAAGGACAGCTCTCCATCCGAGCTTTTGTCGCCTGGTCAAATCAAGGTCCTACGAGCAGTCAATGGAAGCCTTAATTGGCTATCCTCTCAAGCCAGGCCTGATTTGAGTGTTCAAACAAGTCTGTCACAGCAATCCTTTCCTCGACCGACCATAGAGGATTTCCGGATTGCAAATCAGGCCGTCAGACGTGCTCGTCAGCACAGGGAAGTTGGGGTGACGTTCAAATCAATTCCTTTGAACGACCTAACCATAGTATGTCACAGTGATGCAGCATTCGCAAACAGAGGGAACCACACACAGGCTGGATATATCATCGGTTTCACCGACAAAAAGTTGCACCTAGGACATGAAGCCCCATGGACTCCCGCTGCATGGCGAAGCTACCGCCTACAGAGGGCGGTAAGCAGCACGCTGGCCGCAGAAAGCCAAGCTATGTCAGTCGCTTCAGGAACTGCAGAGTGGATCTTGTTGCTTTTGGCTGAGACCATAGATGGCCCCTTGCAGATTCGCAGCTGCAGGAATGTGCTCAAAAGGCGACAGCCGATCATCGTCACCGACTGCAAGAGCCTGTACGATCACTTACACTCCCCGTCCTCTCCAACATCCATAGAGGACAGACGAACCAGCATTGATGTAGTGATCATCAGGGAAAGCTGTAAGCATATGGAAGCCCTAGTTCGGTGGGTCCCCACCAATAGGATGTTAGCAGATGGACTCACCAAGGACGCCGGTGATCCCATCGATCTCCTCCGTGCTTGTATTCGTAGGGCATCATATCAGATCTCCCCGGAAGAAACTGTGTTGAAAATGCAAGCTGCCGAAAAACAGATTCGACGGCAAATCCAAGAGCAACGCTTGAAGGATTCGAAAGGTTCCGATGGGGGTCCAACACCTGAGGGGGTCTCAGGTGATTCATAAGTGGCAAGCTTGAGTAAAGGTGAGGGTTCATTGTTTGGGAACAATGTAGTTAGAGTCAATACTCAGGTATTTGCAGGTTTTGCTGGTGAGTTTTGTGTATACATGTCGCAGCCTTTTTCTCGACCGATTGCTTTGAAGGCAATCGCATTTTGGAACGATTCATCGAAGTGCCTGCTTTTCAGCGGTTTCCTCCCAGCCTCACCATGGCTGGTACCAGTCAGCGTTTGTCCTCAGCAGTTGATGAGTTGCTGCAGAGGGTCCGAGATGAAGGATCCATGGACTCCCTCCTGAAGGAGCTGGGGTATGAGTTGGGTGAATTCGAGCTTGTTCGTGAATCCGAAGGTCAAGGAAGTATGACGGATGCTTCCAAGAGGCGCATGATTGATGAAGTCTCACCACCACCACAGATGCCTATGGTTCGAGCAGCCAAGACTCGTGCCTCGTCCAAGCTGCCGTCCGGAGTGAACAGCATGGAAGAGTGGGGCCGTACACTGGTAACGGCCGGGAAGTTCGAGAAGCACGAGATTTCTTACTCAGAGCTGGCATCATCGAGTGAGACCTCCAAGGTCAAGTATGTGCAGTGGATGATCCATCAGAGTGGCCGCAGTGACCTCTCACCGGTGGTTCAGGACATGGCTGATTATTTTGTGGCCAATGCCCGAGAGAAGGAAGGACATGGCCCGTGCATCCCCGGCTCGAGTGTGGTCCGGAAGTTCAAAAGCTGAAGAGACGAATGCTGATGAGATGGCCGCTTGCCGTTCGTTGGAGCACCATTGATTCCATATGAGCCTTAGGTGAGGCATCCAAGCACCCGCTCCATTCGAATTTTAGAAAATGTATCCAGTTGTGATTGCACGCATGGCAGGCATGAGTTCGTCGTTCCACCAGGGACTTTTCGGCGCGAGGTGAAAAAGCCCGATCGATCCCTTCAGGCGAAGGGTAGTTGCTCCGCAATATATATATATATATTAATATGTTGGCCAATCTTAGCCTCATACCTCAGGTGAAAAGGCTTTTCAATCCTCTAGAGAAGGTACTATATATATATATGTACCGTTGCAATCCTCTATATATACAATTACACAGCTAAAATAGATGGTACTAGGACACCCCGAGATATATATGTGAAATCGTGCCTGGACCATCTGATATAGGTGGCGTCTATGGGATCCCACCTTTCATGGGCACCCCAACCACCAAATGAATAGCACATGGAAAAAAAACACCTAGGATTCCAACCACCATCGATTTAGAACATGATTTGACATGTTTTACAGAACAACAATTTTGTCCCTGGCTTTAACTTTACGCTACCAAACCAGGTTATTCATTTTTTGAATGGTTGAACCAAAAACTAGGGAACACAATATGAAAACGATTGCATGAACTTCATGCCGTGGTGACGCTCGATTGTTGAAGGGAGAGTAATAACACTAAATCGACAGATTGGTAAACTTCCCCGGAGGAGAAAAGTACCAAGACTCCAGTTTTCATCTCCCACATCCTTCTGATCCTTCTGGCACATTGCCGCCAAAAACTGCACTGCATTCTAGTCGGATTGTATTCGTATCCCTCACCCCCAGCTCCCTAATCCCATGTATTGCATGTCATGTGCTGTTCTCGTCGCAGATGTACACATCTAGTTTCACAGCTCCTCGGTTCTCTTTCAACTCACCCAAAACACCAACTGAGCTGTGCTGGAAACCTCGATAGATTCTTATGACGTAAGAGGGTGCTGGCAAGCAACACATTGGTTTTTCTTACTCATTACAAGCAAGTGGGTTTATGGCATGGCTCAACTGCCTTCCCTCCCCCCCACTCCTCTGCGCTCGATCCAATCGGATCCAGGTCGCTTGTCGTACTCGTCGCGGCTCAGGGCGACCGAGTCGTTGGTCGCGGTCAACGCGGCGTTCAAGCTGGAGACCTTGGTGGATCGGCGGATCAGAAAGACCCTCCGGTGGAGGAGAATGGATGTGGCCGGATGTATACACTCCAGTGTAGCCACCGAGTTGATGTTTGTTGATTGATCCTTTCATGAGGTTCTTGATCGAAATGACCATGCTGCGCTACATGTGACGGGGAGGAGGAATCATTCACTTTCATCGGCCTGGCCAAGGTCTTCAAGAACCGTCGCTCACGGCGGTTCATCAGCTTCCGTCGCAAGGGTGAGGAGCTCGGCTTTCGTTCCAGCAGCTCGGCGGAAAACAGAGACGTGCCTTGCACAATAAATCCGTAGCTCGGAGCAATTCTATAGAATAAATCCGTAAAACCTTGCACATAACCGCCAGCTCCATAGACGTGCCCTCCTCACCACCAGCTACATAGATCTAAACAGAAAAGCATCTAAACGCACATCCTACCACCACTACCACCCCCCCAGTGATAATAATCTTTAACAATACTGCCACTACTACTCCGACGACCACGATCACGAGAACAATTACTTTGGTCGGGCTGTCTCTATTCATGCTCCCTGAATCAAAAACCTGGAGAGGAAGGAGGACTAATCACGTATTGGAACCCCCGTTTCTATCTAGGGCGATGGGCCACTACCACTGCTAAGATCTGGTTCTGCTTTGGACCTTCTTTTCCTTCCCCCAAACGTTCGATGTCTTGGCCCAGTGTCCAGCCCTTCGTCGCTCAAGGCTTGACCACACATGTACACCTCGAACCATCGAAGGACCGGAATCGCGGAAGGACCTGAGTGAGGAGGGATCTGGTGGGATGGGTTGGAAGGTGGCAACGAACGCTCTAAGTCGATTCCCAGAAGGAACGCCCAGATTTGATGATGTTCTCTTGTTGGGGGCGGTGTGTTTATGGATTTTTGTGGAGGGGGGGGCTGGGTCCTGCTTTCACTTGTTGCTCAAACACCTTCGCACCCACAGGGTGATCTTACACCTGTGACACCTGTGGTTTTCCTGCCACAAAGGCTCCCAACAAATCCAGTGATGACCCTGTATGCTCAGCCCCCTAGATCTCAAAAGGTTAGCATACACACAAGAAAAAGCGTAGAGTTTGAGTGTTGATACCTTTCCGTGCAGTACCCAAATATATATATATATATATATCCAAAAGTAATGTTCCATTCTTAAATGTGTTATATAACTCTTCATTATCACATGACAAACTAGTGCTAGCACACCCATTTTTATCGCTAGCAACCAGAGCTATCCAAAGTCGAGGTTTTCTGCAAAACACCTCGACGCCCGAACCGCGCCAAGACCACGGACCGCGGACCGACGAGGACCCGCACTTTGCCCACCATGTTCTGGTCTTTGATGCCCATGAGCAAGAGGTTGGCTCCTAAAAGGGCCCAGACCGGAGAAACGCATCTGCTTTTGCGCAGGCCACGCGAAAAGGAAGTGATGTGTTCCTTCATGAATCCAAATATAGATCCAAATGTAGTTAAGGACCGGCCCTCCAACTGCATTCTCAGGTATGTGGATGCAAAGGGCTCCTCTACTATATTTGGACAAATGATGCTTTTGGGCTGGGTTTGGGGGGGTCTAAATACCTTTTCGGAGGTACTTAGAGCCCTCCCTCGGGTAACTGACTCCGAAAATCTGTTCGTCCGTCACACGGCAGGGACGAACCGGATCGCGCAACTCCTACGTTTTCCTCGAAGCCACGTCAAAAGTCAAAACGATCCGAAGCAACACACAAATCATTCACCAACAGAACAGCCAACATCTGAACATCAAGTCACCTCATGATGCTCCTGGGTGTTGTTCGTAAAGAACTTCCTATACACTCCCTGAACTAAGGCAGAAAGGCAACCGCCCAGGTTGCGAGCTACATAAGCCCTGGGATACCCTGGGCAATCCTGGGCTGTCAGTACTTCTCATGTCGCAACTGCTGGCAATAGTTGTGGCACCGAACTTAAGCAAATATCCGAAAGCTCTGAAAGCTTAAGATTAAGATCGTATCTTATCTTGGCATATTTTCTCAATAAAGGACGGTCAGTTTCGACATGATCCGGAAAACATCTTACAAACCAAGGTGCCAGGATGGTCCTCTTGCTGGCGCCACTTCTGCACCCAACTTTGGGATGCCCTGTGCATGTGACAGCTCCACGCGAAACACGTCGAAACGCCGAGCTCCAAATCGTCAGACGACACGTCCATTTTGACGACACCGAGAAGTACGAGAAGTACGCCCGAGATAGCAGGGCCAGGCGTCGCCCTACACAGCATGCACGAGCATGCCATTTTTGGACTAGGTAGAAGTTCGATGAAGTTCGCAGATCCCCACCACACATGTGTTTGAAACATTTGGAAACCGTTGTTGATCTATTTGGGGATGCGGGAATCGCCCTACATCACGGTACATTCCCCGAAATCATGATGGGTCAGGTAGAAGATTCACGCAATGGCGCTAGATGACCACGAGCCTTCCAAATAACCCAGACAGGTGGTGAACTCATGTGAACTCCACCTACATGATTCTTCTGGGGGTTGCTGTACCAAGTGTAGCCCCCCCCCGCAGCCGGCCGGTGACCCGAGGTGGAGGGAGGATGTGAAGAAGTGTGAGAAGGAAGGGGGGAAGGGAACAAGCATATACAGTATCATATACAAGATTAATTACAGTATACAATTAAAAACTACAAACAATCATTTAGATTTTGAATATATATATATATAATGTTAGATAACCAGAACCTAATTAAGCCATTCAATTCAAAGTCAATCAATTAGGTATGCATGTCCAAGCTGAGGTTTTGAGGATGCCTTTGGTGCCGTGATGTGCCTTCTGTCAAAGTCTTCCGACAGATTGCACCAAGCTATCATGTCAAATCAGAATCAAGAAGGGTAGAGAAAAGTAGAGAAGACATCCAGACAGGTGAATTATAGTCTAGCCTGGGGGTCCCCAATTTTACAAACCCACTTGGAGGATGCACCACAACACTCTCTATAAAAGGATGAAGACAGGAAAACCATTGTTTTTACCTCGGACATCCGATAGATGCTCCCTGACACCAAATTCTGGGAACCTACCTGAGGATGTGGCTGGAGAACTGACACCAAAAACAAATGAAACAAACAACAAGATGTGTTCAATGTTTTTTCTACTCTGCCTATCCGACTGTACTGGACATCCAGCGTTCTTTTTATTCCGATCCGGCCCATAAAAGCATCGAAACGCATCATGCACTCATCAAATCATAGATTTGACCATCTTAGACAACAAATACCATCAAATATACCAGCAGTATACCCCTTACTCTGCCATGGGGCATCCGGACACCCATTTCATAGAGGATTTGTGTTTATTAAAATGGACGTCCGCAAAAAGAGTTTATATATAATGATGGCCGTATGTGTCTCCAAGTTTGGTATATAATGATGGTGCTTCTAGGTATCAAAAAGGATCAAAGAACTCTGGAGAAGTGGCATGCTTCTAAAATGATAGGCTCCAGGATCAATAAGCACCAGTATAGCTTTTCCTGAAACCTTTATGAAATGACAAATCCACAAGCAAACCTGGGCGACCCCATCACTCCATCTTTGGGCTACTACTTCTTAGGACTCTGGGGTGTAGAAGTCAAAA